TAAGATCCTTTCCAACCCAAACATTCTATGATTCTATGATTTCAGACTAAAATATTTGTGTTTAACTAATTCAGATAGGTTACTACTGTTATGTCTGAAGTAATATTACAGTCATTCCTAATTAGCTTTTACTTTTCTGAGTGTCTTCTTGCACTGCTATTAGAGATCCTAGGAAAAAAATATGCTCCTCATGTCAAAACACACTAAAGCATAGATCATCACAACATGGATTAGAGATCCAGTCTTCTCCATAAATTACTGTCCTGGGTTCAGCTACAGAAGTCATTTTTTTCTCCTTCTTAGTAGCTGGTGCAGTGCTGTGTTTTTGACTTTCAGCCAGGGAACAACGCTGATAGCACCGATGTTTTTAGTTGTTGCTTAGTAATGTTTACTCTGACCAAGGACTTCTCTCAGTCTCATGCTTTGCCAGGGAGGAGGGGAAGCCAGGAGGAAGCAGAGACAGGACACCTGACCCAAACTGGCCAAAGGGCTATTCCATACCAGAGCACATCATGTCCAGTATATAAACTAGGGGGAGTTACCCGGAAGGCCCAGATCGCTGCTCGGGTCAGGCTGGGTATCGGTCGGTGGGTCGTGAGCGGTTGTGTCCTCTTCCCTTGTTATTCCTCTTATCATTATTATTGGTAGCAGTAGTGGTTTGTATTATACCTTAGTTACTGGAGAGCTGTTATCTCAACCCGTGGGAGTTATGTTCCTCTGATTCTCCTCCCCATCCCTCTGGGAGCAGGGGGAGGAAGAAGAGGGGGGAGTGAGCGAGCGGCTGCGTGGTTTTGCGTTGCCAGCTGGGCTTTAACCACGACAATTAGGACTATAAATAGTCATGAAATAACGTTCAGGTTTGGGCATCTCAAACTGATACAAGTAAAATAAACAGAGGAAAACAAACAAACAAAGAACAGTAGCAACAACAAAAGAAAAAGTTATTTGTGGAAAAAGCAAGTTCAGAACTATCACAGTTCAGTTCTTGATAGGAAAGGAAGTGTACTACAAGTGATGTATTCATACTAGGATAACTTTCTCACCAGCATGATTAGTCTTGTGGGATGGCAAATTCATTCCTAATGTTGCAAACCCCCAAGTTAATTAGCTTTTACTATTCACTGGGATAACATATCTGCTTCGCTGTGGTATATACAATATCGAAGTTAGTATATTAAAATATTACCTGCTTCCTTCCAAGGTAAACTATGTCTTGAGAACATGAAAATTCAACTAAATATATAATCCCTTACGGAAATTATTTCCCAGCACACATATAAGGGCCAGAAATATTAAGCTGAAGTTGTGCATCCTTGACTTGGCTTATAAGACTAGATTTCTTTCCCTCTGAGAAGAAGGAAATAGGAATTACAGTAAATATTCCAACAGAGAGCAAATCATAGTATGTATGAACATGTCTAAAGACAGCTTGAATGCGTAACTCAACTATCTCATTGTGATTAAAAACAAGAAAACATTTACAGGTCACCAGCAACAATTGAATTAGAAAAGTAACATTAAACATTAAACTGATCAATAAATTCAAGACAGCTTTTAAAGGACAAGTATGGTTTTACTTCCTTAAAGATCACAGTACAAAAATAATTTTTCTCAAAGAAAACTTTTCATAATTCCACAGATCACAGAAACATCAGATCATCATCATGTCAAGTCTACTGATGTATAAAGAAAAATGAAAACTGACAACTTACGATACATAAAACCCAACATCAGTCTTTCGTTGTCCAAGCCAGTTGCCTCTGCACTGTCTTTATTACTGAAAATATCCCTGGGACAAGTTAATGTTCTATAGTTGCAAAGATGAGTATGTTCTCATTAAAATACTTAAACAACATGTGTTCTGCTAATGTTTCTTAGAACATCACAATTTATTAGGGTTTAGTACCAATATTTACGCTTTATAAATAATTTATTATGAAATTGCATTGTGGGTAAGTGAATTTATTTTATTTTTTTTTTAATTTTTGTGAATAGCACATTAGATTAGCTTTTTTTACAAATTATACTTAGTATTAGCATACTAAACTGTGCTATACAGCACTAGATTTGTGCTCAAGAAGCCAAGCAATTTGCTTCTTATAATTGCTTTTGCACAAATCAGAATACCAGTTTGCACTTTACACTAGAATAAAGCATGCTGTACTCCATGAGATGCAATGGGGACCCTCGTAGCACACATGTAATACACACCTACAGTTCAAGAGATTATATAATCAGTTATTTCATGGTTGAACAATTCACAGTGCTTCTCTAAGTGTCTAAACTAGGATAAACAGAAAGGGTAGATGGAATGAGTAGAAAATATAAAGGTTTAACATTTTAGAAGCAAATTGCATTACTAACAATGTGAAGTTTGCTGTATCTTCAGCTGCTCCAGGAATGATGAGTTGATGAAGAGCACTTCAAAGAGATATACTAACAATTTATCAAAGTAACTCTGGACTGAAGATCTACTGTTCATGTCAGCCACTTCCTCTAATTTACATTTCACTCTCTCACAATCCATGTCGTTAATGAAGATCTTGAATAACATGGGCCCCAGTGCTGACCCCTAGGGTACTACACTCATTACCAGCCAGCAATTGACTGTCAAGATGTTGATCACTGTCATTTGAGACCAACAGTTCAGTCGAATTTTCAACCCACTCAGCAGTCTGCTCATCAAGCTTACACTTCCTCAGCTTCCAAACAAAAATACAACAAGAAACAATGACAAAAGACTTGCTAAATCACAGTATATTACATCCACTACTCCTCCCTTATTTGCATAATCACTGATTTCCATATAAAAGGCAATGACATTAGTCAATATGACTTGCACTTAACAAATCTATTTGATTACTTCTGATTACCTTCTTGACCTTCATGTGCTTTGAAATGGATTGCAAGATGATGTGCAATTCATTCAAGTTTTGCTTGCAAAGACTTAAGCAAAAAACAGCACTGTGCACTTCAGCCTTTTCTGCATTGTCTAACTAGCTGATTCCCCCATCCATCAATCCCTAAGCTTCTTTAAGCAGCTAGCCTACCTTTAGAACCCCTTCTTGAGAGACCATACTTTCCCTGTTACTTTTCACACCTGATGGGTTTTGGCTTTCCTGATCTTTTTGGTAAGTATGCTCATAGTACTTTTACATTTGCCTTTTGTTACATCTTCTTCCTTCCACCTAGGTGTAGTACAGGGAATATGCTATTGCCACTGCTAGTAACAGGCCATGGGGCCTTATATTAACAGTGCAGAGCATCATGAATTTGTTACACCTTGCTTGAAATTGAGCTATTTTAGCTATAACAACACATAGCTGAAGTGCCAGCTGTTGTCTTACCTGTTTTTCAACTTCAGCTTAGTGATGAATAATTTTGTGGTATTACTCTAAAGAAATTCTACAATGTGAGGTAAAGACCCAACAAAACAAAGAGGTCATTGTGGAACTAAACCTGACAACCAATAAGAAAGCAAGTGTAGCAACAGACCCTTATGTAAACATAATAAACATTGCCTTCCCAGTGAGGAACCTAGGATGTTGATGACATTTATGCTCCCTTCTCTAATCTGAACAGCACTTTTGAGCCTCCTGTATGTGCTGAACATGATTCTGTTCTGCTCTCTGCCAGGTCCCCTGCTCAGCAGGTAAAAGCTGGCACTGTCCCCAAGATCCTGGCCTTGATTTACTTAGTGTGTAAACAGTGGATCTACTGCAAACTGCCGCTTTCTTCATTGTTGTCCACAAGAGAACATCATCAGAAACTCAGAAGTGATCTGATCATTTACAAAGGGAGCTCTGTTTTGTGATAGTTGAGAATGAAAATACTTCAGCAGTTACACATGGGAAACTGTAATAAAGTACATGGTCAACAAAACTATAGAGAATTTGGTCATGAGAACAAAATGCACTTGACCAGATACCATTTAGGTAAAAGAATCATCAAAATTACCGCTATATTAACTCTATATGCAGCTAAAGCTGTATTTCTATATTTCTAATTCATATCTCAGAACGTGTAATTAAAAAGCATGAGTTCCGTTCAACAAATAAACATGAATCTCCATTTTTTAAAAGTCACCTGTCTTCACTTGCTTTATGTGCCACAAACCCCAAATCATAGCATGAGTGTGTAAATCTGACTTAAAACTTACCTTTGCACAGGTTTGAATTTGCTATTCTCTTATGTTTCTCCATCTGTGGAGTCTGTGTCAGGGGCCACTGGAAGGTTTATCTTCAATTTTTTCTATATGTAGGTGCCAGGAAATGCTTTGGCACCTGTTTTCTGATACCACATGTTATGTTGAACTAGGTAGAGATTCATAGAACCTTCTATAGCTCTCTGCTTCATTCAGAGTGAAATTTATTCTTTAACTAAGTAAATATCAAGGGGAGTCATCAAGGAGAATCTGGGACTGCAGACTTGAGTTCTACAGCATTTGTGAAATCTCAGTATGGACGATGACTTGGCAATCTTTGATAATTCTGGATCATACTTTTTAAAGGATGTTTGAAAATATTGCTGAAGCATGTTTCCCTGGAAGGTCAATCAGAAAACAGCTCAAATATTTTGTCCTTACTAACTCCTTTAGGTGACAAAATAAGATGACATATTTGGAAAATAACCAAGGAACAAAACCAAAACAACACATTAGCTATTTGGCTTAGACATACAGCTTCCAAAACACATCTGGGAGACGCCTACTGCCTAAATGCTATAGTGCAGACCACGGCCAATAACCAGCTTCCTGTAGACATGAGGCTGTTTGACCTCTACTGTGTTCTACTATGAACAATTTTTAAAGGGTTGTGTTATTTCTTAGCTCACACAGCACTGTTTAACAGAGCTTTTCAGGGAAGATGTAAATGATACGTGGTATCTCCACTGCTAGGAAATGGAATGAGGCAAAGGTAATCACATCCACTCACACTTCTAATGCAACCCAAGGAGCTTAAGTTCCTTCCCCCACCCCCAAAAAATCCAAACCTGTGTACCTGTCAGCATGACATCCACCACCACGTTTTCAGGAGTTGGATTTTTGAAGGATATCATGCCAGAAGATCGCTGGCCAATGCATGCACTTATGCTGGTTGGTTCCATTAGCTGAGGAGGAAGACCAGTCCCGGAAAGGTTAAATATCCACTCTGTAAGCTGTAAATGAAACATGATTATTCACTATTTGATGAATCAGATCTGTATATTTTAAGGCATTTTTCCCACTTCTTCCTTCTAGTGTTCTATGTCTCTCTTCTGTTGTAAGTCAACTGCTGTTAAATGCTTGCTTGCTTCTTCCTGCAAGCTGTTATGCTACTCTTGAGTATTTCTATCACATTCTGGGAGATGTTCCTATCTACTCTTTGCATTAAACTTTTGGGCTACTCTGAGCACAGAGTATTTAACTTCCAAGCTACTCAGAGCTTCAAGTGTAGTGAATGGAAAGATGTAGGTGGCTGCAAGAGGGCAATTCAAAGCACATATATTAGAACCTGAAAGCATATGAAGTGAGAAGTTCTTTTCAGAAGAAAAAGGAATAAGAAAATAAATTCTTTCATTGGACAGCAGAGAATCATACAAAAAGCTAAAACTGTCACTCCAAAGATAATGAAGAACATTAACCACTATACACAGAAGAATCGATAATATTGAAAAGAACTAGTAGATACAGAGTATCACCACAGAGCAGAAAAAAAAGAAAAATATAATTCAATTGATGTGTTTATTTTGACCATTTTTTTCAGCATGAAAGAAAGGACTTGCCTGCCTTATGCTTACTCTTTTAAGATTAAAAAGAGATGTTAATAATGCCACTCATTATGGAACCTTTAATGCTGAATGAGCAGCAAAGGTGAATAGTAAATATAAAGGTAATATCATTATTTTAAGGAAAATGTTTAATTTGTGCATTCATGTGGCTGCCTTTAAATAATAACTGACTAAAATCTGTCACTTATTACAAACTACTCCAAATGTGACCCTTTGACCTGTTTTGTTCAGTGTAACTCAAAAAGACATACATCAAATACAGAATAGAAAATAATAAATAAATTCAAACCACTACTTCCATTATCTGAAGTATTGCATTTACTTCTGCATAGCCTGTTTGAAATAATTAGGGAAAATCTGTGATAGACAGGGTTCAAAAATCTAACAACAAATCTGGAAATACTTAAAGTAAAAAGTGACTAATATATTGAGACTTCTCAGCATAAACAGGGATAAATAAAATGTCACATCATATGTCTTCAGAGAGTAGCTTTGAACAGCAAAATTGCATGCATAAAAGAAAAAAAGGAAAACCTGTTTGTATACTGATGTAGAGAAGCAACTACGCAATACTAAAAGTCAGAATATTAAAACATGGCCTATGTTTTGTTTAGGATTTAGATAGTGAATTATACCACCTGGTTTGCAGGGAGTTCTGCATTTCTCAGTCTAGTGAAAATTGAAAACTACCTCCCTTTAAAATTACATTTTATTTCATTGTTGACTTAAACATGGCCTATAGCCTGTTTATTGTTACAAACTCATGAGTAGGAAGCTAGCACCACTCATTAGTCAAATTCTGACAGGAAGGTGAATGCTGCCACTGTACAGGCTTTGAAGCAACAGAGGACTAACTCCTTGGTGAAGCCCCTTTGCTGGTCATAGTCAACAAGAAACTGCTCAGCAGTTGCCAAGCCAGCATGCCATAGCATTTGTGTTCCTGACTCACGTTCTTCCTTGCCCCATTGGCCTCAAGAAGTTAAATATAAACAACAGGCTGAGCACACTTTTCAGACTTATTTTGAAGGACTGAAAGACAGGCATAAGCATGCCAGAAGATCATGTTTTCAGGAAGCTGGATGTGCCAAGCTATTAGTGGTTAAACTGGCCTGTCAGTGTTACTTTGTGCTTGCTTACACATACAGCAACAATATATATGTATATATGTATTTCTGTGAATCTCTTAATACAGAAATTAGGAGGCAACATTAGTCTAACAACGCTTTCCAAAACCTCTGTAAACCTGTGTAAACCATCCTGCTCATAGCAAGTAATTTCACACGTAGGTGCAGTGTAGGGGTGGGAGGAGTGAGCGTGTTCATATTTTGTACAGATGAGCTGTAAAGATCAAAGAGCTGTAAAGAGCTTTATTGCTGAAGGCCCAGGCTCATGGTCTACAAAAAATAGACACTGTAGTTTTCACTGATTTTCTGTGATTAACAAGAAGAGCCTTTTTGATCCCCCTTGTTTCAAGTGCTCAGCACCTTTAAAACAACACACTGAAACTTTGTCAAACTGAACAGCTAAAGGAGCCAAACAAAATTAGTGGTTGGTCTGGAATATAAAATGAGACAACCAAAAAATTATACCAATCACAGGACAGACCTGCCTTGCCTGACCTGCAGTTATTGTTCATCATTGCCCACTCTGTGATGGAGCTCAAGACTACGTATGCCCAGTGCAAGAAATCAAGAGGAAAAGATATTTAAAAACCAGAATCCTTAGGAAAATAATACAAGATAGGATATTGGGTTCATTTTCTCTCTAATATTACTTACTTCTTTTAAATGCTCTACATTATACCTGGATGCTAGTAAAAGTGGTAAAAGAATAGGATAATACAGATATGTTAGAACTCTGGGTGTGGATTAAGTTAAAACTGACCTTTCAGTTGTGCTGTCCCAACAAACTTAATTTCAGATTTTCACAATGATTAGAG